CTAATTTCACAGTTGGAAACTGAAATCTCGATTTGCTTTCTTACTCCACCTCTTCCATTAACGGTTAAATGGAACTGTTAGTTATTTAGGCTTATTATCATTTCAAGTTTCCGTTTCGTGCGGAAGCAAATTTCTAAAGTTTCATTTTGAATTTTGATTTTTACTTATAGTTCTATAATAATACTCGTATAATTGACTTTTTAAAAAACCTACTTGAATGCATAAGGTTAGAAACAATTTTTTCTACAATCGATATCCAAAGTAGGCATTTGCGCTCGTATTTGACAACGCAAACGTCATCTTTTTCGAGGAATGTCACTTTGTCGCTTATAAGCGACAAAATAGAAAAAACGCTCGCTCTCCCAATTATTTACTATCAATCAAATATGCATTGCTCAGAGTATCCAATGACAACGAGTAAATGACATCTTTCATTTGGGCATAAGATTAAAAGGATTTGAGTGAGAAATTTGAATTTCTGGAAATATGTGAACTGATCGATTGTAGAAAAAATCTTGTGTGTAATTCGAGCGCAAATTGATTGTCGATTTCAAGAGATTGCCGCGCTCCTTCGTCGCGCGTCAACTGTCTCTTTCAATCGACAATATATCATTTTGCGCTCTTAATACACAAATAGCTATTGATTTTAATTTACACGTGTGCTGTACTGTAGTTCAGCATTACCTAATAGCTCTCTACAAATAAAGCGAAGAGATTATTCACTGTAGAGGTGTTAAAAGCCTTTGTTCCAGTGCCCTAATTAAATAAGTTTGCCGTAACCGCTGTCTTTAATTGGCAATTAGCAATTTGTAGTAGACTTGGCACAATTCCCGTTAAGAATAATTTTATTGACACCGACGAACAGTTGTTTTGTATTCAGTATGTAATTATCACTTACGTGGTTACTAGATACGTTCATGTGTTGATAATATAATCGAAAAGGCGGAAAAAAAATTACATACTGTAATCTGTAATATAACTTGAATTACATATGATTTATTTATTTACAACTAATTATTAATGAATAAGTCCTTAAATAAATTGATTTAGATAATTATTATTTATCACTCACCTGCTCTCAAATTTACAACATAAATATTAATAACAAACGAGCGCGAAATCACGTCTATCAATTTTCAAGCTTCTAGAAAACCATGGAACATTCGCGAAGTCCGCATATCACATTTCATAGAAACAATGATTTGCATCCGCGTTCGTTCCGTATCGCTAGTGACGAATCTTAAACCGACTTGATGGCGCCTCGATGGCGGCTGGTTGCGCTCCGATATCCGTCTGTATTCCTAGAAATTTACAATAGATTTTAGAGAACTTTCTTTGCATAAATCTACCCGAGAAGAATAACCAAAATGACTTATTCTAACTATGTTGACTCATAGGTGATCCCAGTTCCCATATCCCAAACTGGTCTTACCTTTATGCATTAATAAACGTGCAGAAAATGAATGGTTTTTTTTAAATGACACTGGCGTACCTAGTGGCTTACACGCAGTATTGTTAAGTTTCTTCTTCTTCTGCTTACCTCCAATATTCGCAACATTAAGAACATCACTAGATTGTGAGGCAGGAGCTACACTAAGCTCATGTATAATCAACGTTGACGAGATATCTATCGTCTTACCTTCGTTCGCTTTCATAGTAGGTATCTCGACTTAAAGGACTCTAAACGCTTAGGTAAGATGTGGAAGACCTTTGGGACGAACACCAACTCAAGAAAATCATCAACAATTTCAATTTTGTGCATTTTTTCGAGTTCCTTCTCTTTTCAAGTTGGTCATTCTTCTGCTCGTTTCGGTGGTTTGATTCCTTTCACGTACCTATTCCATTTTACAGCTGGACGTACTCGAAGGCAAAAGGTATCCGACAAAACATGCAGAAATATAATTCGCACAAAAACAGTTGCGCTACGTAACCTACACTTCAGATCCCGGGAACCCGACATGATTCGACTCCTACGGCTGCATCCCTTACAAAATACTACAGCATCTTCCGATGATCATGATTAGTTCCTTTCGGTAGAACTTTTTATGTAAACTGTTACGTCACCCAAGCGTTTAAAGAACCAATATTTTTAGTTTTCCAAGTTTATTCTTTGTGCTTAATTATACATGGACCTAATTAGTTTAGTGCTAAGTATTATTCGTGCCTTTCTGATAAACTTGATCCAAATCAATTAAAAGCATGCGGTTTGGGCTGAAGGAACCCATCCAGATAAATTTGAAATGTGTTGGTTTGTTTAGTAATTGCTCAAAAATTAACAAAAGCCAGTTGTATGATAGGTGTGAGGTAAGGGCTTATAAAAAGATTAACGCAAATCCTAGTTAATAACACTCCATGATTTCGTCCTGGAGTTTGTGCGAAATTGCCTTGTGTACACAAATGGTGCTGGTAGCGCATTTTCATCATTCGGAGATATAATATGCTTCAAGTTAACCTCTCTTTACAGTTCTGAGAAACATGTAATAAGAATATGAAGCTTTCGCGATCTGAAACAAAATTAATGGATAACGATTCTGAATAAATAAACCACCTTGTAAACACGTTTGCCTATGCCTTAAGTAAAAAACACAAAAAACTTTAGGCGCCAAATTTTTACTTTTACCGTCTAAACAAATTAACTCAATATCAAAGGATTGAACATAATATTTCGATGACCAGTTACTAGATCGGAAGAACAAGCTCAATGCAAAAGAAATAAATGTGCCATTTCTTCTGTATGATGCCGAAAAAGTCAGGTTTAGTTCCTTGTATCGTATCTTCAGGACTCTTTCAGTACCGTTCAGGTATCCCCTCAACTATACACCTAGTACAGCGCAACTTTTTTCGAATTTTTGTTACTGCTTAAAATGTCTGTATAGTTTCCCTGACAATTCAGAGTTGTAGAGGGTACATTCCGGTCCCTATTCAATCTTCTAATAGTCAAGGAGACTTCAAAGACTATTGGGAATTTTTGTGGCAAATCTGCATCTCCGATCATTGAAACGTTCTCTAAGCCAAAGGATTCAAATGATAAAAGGATAAAGATGCGTTGATAGTCATAAGTGAGAACGCAATAACAAAACCCATTCGTTTTGCAATTTTTTTATTTGGTATTTACATAAGTACTTCTACATTTAATGAAATAATTATAACTTATTCACGTTTCTAAACTTCTTGTTAAGTTGCCTACAAGAGCTTCGGTAACAGTTTTTTTTTCGCTTGAAGTGTATAAGTACTCAGAAAAGATAATTTGAAAACTTTTGGAATAAAGATAAGGCAAAAGCTTGCATTGGCAATAAGATAACACAATTTACTACCACCTTCCTGAAATAAAACTTTCTGACTTTCAGTAGATCCACTACTGATCCTTTTTATGATGACCGACGCTTGTTTTCCAATACCCAAATTACATATTTTTTTACATAAGCTGTAGGGCATACACGACGTCCCTTATCAGTTGTCGCAAAAGCCGGTCACAACGTGCTGAAGAATTCAATCGATTCCTTGCAAGGATGCTATTTGTTAGGAACTTCGGACATATATGACATTATCTTATTAAACTGGGGTTGCTTGGGAGGCTATGAAATAAATTTTCCGGCGCACTTTCTTATTCGAAAGCGTCCCGCAGTGTTTTGTGTGTTGATTTATTGGCGCGTGATTTGAATTCCTTACAGTTTTGCGAAAAGGAGAATTTGAAAATTAGTTTTGTAATTTAATGGCCACTTCCTGCTTGTTCGAATGGCGTGCTAACGAATGGGAGAGGCCGGACAAATAAAAAGCAGTATAAAGTGCACAAACTTATATAAGTAGACGTATAACGATAAAACACGACTGTGACTTTTTAAAATAAAAGAGAATTAAATTATCCTTAGTCGAGATTGAAATAAGTCGCAAGTGTGAAAGATAGCGTGACTGAAATGGGAACTTGCGAAGAGACCCGAACATATTGAACCATGTCTTTCAATGGACTAATTTTAAATTTAAAAACCACTGAACTATAATTATTAGTCTTTTCATCTATTCTCTTACGAAACTGTGAAAATCCAAAATACTCAAGCTTTGCGGATTATGTGCTCCTCCTTTCAATGTACTTTATACAAAATTACAACCTCGTGCATTTAATTACACGTACGCCAAACACAATTGTCTCTTTGAGTTTAGCGGATAGTTTTTTCTGACGACGCATTCGCGACTATTTTTCTAATTTTAGTTGGCGGTACAACTACATGCATGTGACGTTCTTTTTTATGCTTTTGAAGGAAATTGATTGAAGGAAGAATTATTGCATGTATTTTACTCATTTTTGTTTTATTCTTATGGGTAGGGAAAGGTTATTTGTTATTGAAATGCATTTGGGCTAGTTAAACGCTGGATTAAAGAAATTTTGGGGAAATTTGTGTATTCGTTTTAGAGTTTAACATTATTAAATTGCTAACAAAAGTCGTCACGGGTGTTTAGTTTGGGCCAGCCGAGTGGTTCTTGTGTTCCTTTGTGCAGGTCTTACTTGATATCTAGATAACTTACACACTCAAGGTGCCCATTAAGTTTATATCTCGGTAAATTAACGACTGTATACAACATTTTTCTATATAAAAATTGTTAAATTTTTTATTTCCCATTATGAGGCAACATTCAGTTGTTTTTATTTCACAAAAACAAATGAATAACGAAAAACAATTGAATTTTTTTAAATAGCTTCATTTGATAGAGACTGTTTTCTTTTTTCAATGACGTAATATGTTAGAAAATTATTCAAAAACATTTAAAAACTATTTAATAAGTGATTATATCAATAACATTAATCTAGATATCCCATATCAAAATAAAATAAATGAACGTGTACGTACGTACAAAGGCCGCAAGAGTAACATTTTCCCCTTTGTTGCCAGTGATAAAATGTGCTGCGTTTTTGTTGGATTGCTTCAAATATCAGTTGTAAAACTAATCCATTCAGCCATGTCGAGAAAATTTACCACTTTCGTTTAGACTTTTTCGTATGTTGCTAGAATCAGAGATGTTCGAAATAATTTTTCAGTTTTACCTCTGGAACGAGAGCGCATATTCGGATCGCCGTAGTTCAGTCTTTTGAAAGCCTCGTCTTCAACAAAATTATAGGGTAACATGTCTACTATTATGAGGTCCATGATTGACTTGCCAATTTTCAATGCTTCGGGGTGATTATCTGGTCACTTTGTTGGATGGGTTCTTCCAATTGTCTATTGGAGACTCAGTTGACATTTCTTCAGAATATTACGCTGCGTTTGGGGAATCAACTTTATCTGTTCTTCTTACTTTGTTTGTATTTTTAGCTTTTTCCGAGATATTCCTTATATTCGGTCCATTCACCTATGCATCTTTTGTAAATGGTTTTTAGTATTAGTTGCGGTTTGTTTGTTTGGCATTGCACTACCGAGTGACAATTTTTTTGCACATATTACAGTTGGCAGTAATCTATTTTTTAATGAAATAATTAAACTATAATAATTAAAGCAGAAGATATAAAAGGGAAGCAGGCAGTGCTTGCGAGAGTCTCTACTTAATTGAAAAAAACGTTTAGGAATTGTAGTAGATAGCTTAGGGATTTTTTTACTTTCAAAAAATTTTTCAACGATCGCCATTTTATTTGAAAAAATAAAAAAAAATAATTACAGCGAGTTATGACGATATTTCGAAAACCCATTCGAATGCCTATAACTTCAAACCGGGGCACCACATCAAAAATTGGAACTAAGAAACGTTGTTTGTTTTAATGAGTTATTGTAGAAATTATAGAAAATCGGTCCTAACTATGGAAAATATAACTTCTGGAAGATGACCCTCTTCTCCATTAATGCACATTAAAAGCCTATCCTGGAAATTCTCCATCATTCCACTAGTTTCTCTTTCAATGGCTGCTAATTCTCTACAGCGAAAAGACACGACCGGCGGGCCCTCAGTTACCGATCCGCCCCCACTACCACCACTACGCAATTCAAATCCGACCGTACTTTTTGTGCAATGCCAGACGTTTTCCGTAAGCGAATGGACAATTTTCTAGAATTGGGTTAAATGTAGATTCTGTATTATTATATCTAAATCGAAATTATGTTGAAAATTATAGAAGATATACTTATTTCTAAAGTGACCATTATTTTTGCACCACCAGGTATATCATTATTATATGCAGTGGAATTAGTAAACAGTTAAATGAAATATTACAAATGAATAGGTACATGCATCCCAAGAGCAGGTGTAAGCGCTTTAGCTGAAAATTCAATTGCAAAAGTTATGTTTCTCATTAAAAACAACTTGCCTGCTTATTAGTTTTTCGTACAGATACTTTTACGTGTTATAAACTTCCTACGACTGCTCTTTAGTAATTTGTAATAAGAGCATGTAAATGTTTGTTTTTACGAATTTCAGGTACACCTAAAGGTAAAGAGAAATGTCATGGATACAGTGCTACCAACAAAAGGTATCGAATGCGACTAATTAAAGATCACTTTATATACAAGGCAAAAACATCAACTATTATGTGCTTACTATTATTCAGTCATAGAAAGGAAAAGAAAATAACAGAGACTTGCAAAAGGTACCTAGCGATTAACTTCTAGGGTTATCGACTTATCGTTACGATACACATAAATGAAACGCTTATATTAGAAGAGTTTATTACTTCTAATTTCGAAATCTTCCTTTGCCGCCGCAAAGTTCCTCTAAGATGTACAGAATTACATCATCCGAATCCCTACAATAACATACCTTGTGATAGTGTATTTGGAAAGTCCCTTACCAGTAACAAGCGTGGCTCGTGATCCCGCAGACGTACTCGTTAAGAAATTCCACGTCACTACCTTGCAGTGCGTAGTCGATTCGTCGACCTTTATTTAACATCCCCAACTCACCTTTGGTCTCCAAGTTTTCATACCTGCTTGTTAAATCATCAAGAATATGAATATGCGAATGGCTCGATGTTGCGGTTGAAAGCCCAGTCGTACGCAGAAACAGAAGACAGCTCGTCACTGTTTGCTTGGCACTTGCAGTGACCTTAACTAACGCGTTCTTTATCTACACCACAATCTTAACAGATGACTAATCATTTCATATTCATACGTACGCGAGACCTCCTGGATCCGTAATGTGGCAGTACAGCTGGCTTCAACTTCTCCATTTCCGCACAAATTAAAGGTTCAATTCTGTACGCGACTGGATCGCAGGGATGGAAAATATTCACAAACGTAGGACACGTGGGCAATTTAAAATTGACACCCAACATATCCACTCCTCTGACGGTGAGAAATAAAGCTAATGGGCCAGTGATCTCGATGAGAACGTTTGCGGGTGTAATTACCTATCGGAGATCCCAGCGTAAACAATCCAATTGGGCGGAAAGGTAACTGTGGATATTTAAGGTGAATTTGCCCGTTGTCATTTTTGTTATTGCCACCTTCAACAAATAATATGCATTAGATTAGAATAATACTGTTTAATGGTATCTATCATTATTTGCTGAAATATTGAGCAAATATAAATACAGTAAACATTCTACCACTACCCCGCGTTTAGTAAAAGTGGTACAAACGGCAACGCATTTCAGGACCATTCATTCTATTTCTAAACGTACACCAGTTTATTTATTGCAACGAGTTTAATTTGAAGTAATAAATGTGACGGTTACGTAAGGGACAACTGTGAAGAACCAAGAGAGCTTAGACCTTGTTTATGTTAAACAGGAATTGTTCTGCTCTTTAACATATAGGTACCCAGAGAGATCATTTACATCAAAAAGTAACGCAGTTTTCACAGAATTTGGTGTTTGACAGGTGAAATTTCAGCATGAACACCTGAAATAAATCTTGGGCTCAAATAGACAAATTTGACATAAAAACTATCTGGGTCGCACAAAGGATTCGAATACACAGGATTAAGTGAAATGGCAAAAATTTATTCCGAAACACATGAAAGTTTGTTTGGACTCAATACCCCACACGCAGGCGGTCAAACAAATACAAAAACATCATTGGAATAATGGATTTTTGATCAATTTACCAAGGTTTCTGTTATTTTTGAAAAACTCATTAATAAAATCATTTTAGCATATTGAGACCAGTTTGTGAGCGATTCGCTATACAACCTAATCCTCAAATATTTGATAACCTCTTGAATTAAACGTTCCGAAGTATTCCCCTGTGGATATCTTATTGAACAAAATCCTACACTCAAAGCTAATCTAAACCTGTCATTACTAAAGTAAGTCGCGTTGCCGGCTACGTACAAAACTTTCCCTCTTCTACTTTATGAAATCATCTTCTCGTTTGCGCCTTCCGTTACCGCTGCTTCTCATTTATTTTCTATCTTAAAATTCATCTCTTCCGCCTCTTGGCTCTTTCTCTCTCTTATTGATTCCAATGAAAACAAAACCGTTTCCTTCTATTCGATTTACAAAAATCTCATTTTCCCTTCTCGTCTATCCCCTTCTTGACATATCATCCGCGATTAAATTGTTTCTTCCCAACGAATAACATTTTAGCTTCGTTATGCAGTTGAATTCCGATTTTCTTTGCTTTTTGCTGCTTCAGAACTTGCATCTCTTCTTCTTCCCTTTGAACGTCCTCATTTTGCTTATTGTAAACTTCAATTTCTTGCTGCGTAACTTCAACTACTTTAACTAGAATCGTTTCTTCAATCTCTTCTTTTTGGTTCAGTTTCTCTTCTAACTGCATTTCATGTGGTCTGCGTCTGGTACACTTGGATAATGACTTCGTATTTCTTCTTTAATTCCAGACTCTCTCAAGTATTTTGATTCTCGTCGCATCCATTTTTTCACTCAAATCCCCCTTCAATTCCTTATTCGACTCCGCCATCGATGGTCTTCTTACCTCCATTTCCATCATAAGCGCGGCGAAAAATACCATCCCTGTGTCTTCTTCATTGCAAACACCATTTTCTTTTAAACGTTCTTCTATATTCAAATTACTTTCTATTTAAAACCCTACCTCTATTTACTATATTAACTACCTACCTCTCTTAATGAACCCTGATCCCGATTAAATAAATGTCTTGGCACCCTTCCCTAAACTTCCCTAAATTTGACCTAAATTTCGCATTTCCCTGATTTGCTTCACGTTTTGGACGCCAAATTCATAATGCTGTGTGGAAAGGCGCCATCCACAAACCACCTAGCTCAAACCAAATCAAAATTGAAACAAAATTTTATAATTCTCCTAATACTGACTTAAGACTTCTCAATTTGAGAGACTGGGTGGCCTCGATCAATTTCCAAAAATTCCAAAGAATTTAATACAACATTTGATTTGATCAACACCTGAAATAAATCTTGAACACAAATAGAAAAATCTGACATGGAGACTATCTGGGCCGCACAAACGGTTCGAATAAATACACAATTAATTGATTGACAGTGACAAATATTTATTCAAATACACAAAAAAACAAAGTTAAACCAAAATCCCTGAAAGAAAGAAAAGTTTACAAAGCTTGTTTTTGATACATTACCCCGCACGCAGACAGTCGATAAATAAAATAAAAAAAATCTTAAAATTATTTACATTTTTCTGTAAGAATCCATACAATCTGGTCGTAAAAGGTTTGTGATATTCAGGCGCAGTTAATAAAGACGCAAAAACACTGGCTGATAGCTTCAGGAAACTTCATTCTTTTTATTAAACTGAACTAATGGCCCTACTTTGAATTTTGCAAGTATAAGCATTTGCTTACTTTTATTCATACGGGCCATTGACTCGCACTGGTTTGATAAATAAAACATTTTCAAAATCTGCATAAAAATCTACGTCGTTTGATGCAACATTTTCCTATACCCATCATCAGAAATTTTTAAAAATTTTTCACGTTTGATTACTTTTCTTTTGAGCCCTGTACCTATTACTCCAATGGCTTGAATTTCAAATAATCGTCCAAAATCAACAATACTGGCTTCATGCTACCTGAGAATGATTTAAATTGTGATAGCCCTTCTACACGGTGATTTAAAACTAACGGTCAATTTGAATAACTTTAAACCTTAAAATGTGTTTTTCAAATAAAACATGCTTTATTTCCTTGCACTTTCAAATTCTCAAATCCTGGCGGGTTACCTTCATACGAACTCTACAGATGCTATAAGTAATTATGTTACGAGGCTTCGATAATGCTGCAAGTGCGTGTTACAACGGACTAAATTGTAGAAAAAGTGTATCTATTCTGGAGTTAATTTAAATAGATTCTTGTAATTTGCACCATTGCAGAAACAAATGGGACTGGTTGCTTGCAATAAAAACCCTATCGTCGATAGCATAAAATGCAGACGAAATCAATAATTAATTAGTTTCAGGATTATTCACACGAAGCGGCATCCATCAACGACTTCTTTATAAATAAATAAGTTTAGAGAAGTTGACAAAAGGTGGTAAATAGCAAACTTTACAATTCAAATTCCCAAAGGAGCTTGAGAAGCAAAACAATGTACCTTTTTGTTTCAAGAAAGAGGAGCTTGATCGATGTTGCTTTGGAATTGTATTCGAAATACCTGCTCTAAGAAAACGGATCGCGTTTAATTGAAAAATACGAAAAATACGTTTAATTAGTAATAAACGGCGGGTTTTATTTTACTCGAAGATTCTTTTCGAATAGGTTTCTGAAGTAAGAAAATAAAATTGTAAAGTACTTGATGTTGTGAAAACACTGGAACTCTTGTGGTCGTTGAATTTACAAACTAAATTAGATTGTTATGAAAGTTCGGAGATTCGTAAAAACAAACGTTTCCTCATGAATAATGACGAATGAGGCCCATTGGGTAAATCAGAGCTCACAAACTTTAATTTTCATTTGTAAATTAGTAGGGCCAGATTTGTATTTTCTTTTTCAGCTGTCGATGACAGCTTTCCTGTTGAAATGCGTACTTTTTGTTTGCCTTTTGTAATTTGATTATGTACTTTAAGTCTCTATGCATAATTTTAATTAAACGAGTTTGGAAGGAGACATTACTTGCTTACCTGCCGTTGTGAGATCAACATTCTCTTTCGCTTTTTGATGAAGTAACAAATCGAAAAGAATGACAGATCCCAGACTATGTCCCAGCAAAGACACTTCTCCGCAGAAGGTGGGATGCCTCTTTTTAAATAGCACGAACAAGCGAGTTAGTTCACTGCTCACCGTCTCGAGAATGATCTACAAAATTCGTCATCTAAAACTCGCGCAGCGTATTTCTATACCGACTTGGGAAAATGGAGCAGTTGAAAAAGTTGAGCAGCTAAACTCCTGATCCTGTAGAGGTTCTATTTTTTATATTCAACAGTAAGCCATCTTACCTGGCAGGTGGGGCTGATGTACAGCAAAATGTCTACCAATGTATCATTTGTAAAGTTTCTTAAGAGGGGCATCGTGGGGAGTGTGATTCTTTGAAGGTTCCGGTCGACATTTGCCTTTCCTCTGTGCACCTTGTAGTGCCAATTTATTGGTAACACTTCAATTCTGTTTCGATATCGTTTGTTTTGTTGTATGTGTTTTAGCGTTTTGTCTCTAAAAATGTCGACTGAAAATAAAAGGTAATTACACGTATGGACTGAGGCATTCTATTTCCCTAGTACTAGGGCTGTTTCTAAATGTGACGCACCAAAGAAGTGGTCAAATTTGGATTTCTAGATCAAGATAATTTTAGTCCGCAATGGTTCAAGTTATCTAACGTCAGGCAGTTCGAAAACCTATCATGAACACTAATTTCTGTCAGTTTTTTTGCCACACTAAAAATGTTTTCTTTTAAAAAAGGAGGGCGAGTGAGAGATTTTATATTTTCATCTCCAACAATCAATAGCCTAACTCCTAACAATACAAGTCAAAAATGAAGACAAAAATCAATGAGTCACAATAATTGGGGCTGGAAGTTCAATATTGCCAGTGTGTTTATGGCTAGAAAAATTCGACGGTACGTGAAGTTAGCGGAACCTGTTACGATAACTGACTCTACTCTACTCTACACTTTATTTCAACAAATAGACTATGTTAATTACCAACTTCTTCAATGGTTCGAAGTTTTAAATCACATATTGGTCCGATACCATGAACGGCAAAAATAAGATGTTCGACTGTTTCAGATTCGTCATCCTTAATATCAAACTCGTCATCGATTCCTCTTTTAATAGCTCTCGTTCGTCCAGGTATTTCCTGCAATTTTCATAATCAGAAAGGCCGAATTATGGTAAAGTCGACAATAAAACGCACATTTCAATAAAAAAAGAAGGCTAATAACTACGGAGGAAACTCACAGAACACGAAAGAGCTAAGGAATATGGGCCATTAAAAGTAATTGTATCCCCATTCAGTAAGACTGCGACACGAAACCAGTCATCCCTTTCATATGAGATTCGATATTCACATTCCAATATGTCCGCAATATGTTCTTCAAATGGTGTAAAATAATTTTCGTTATTTCCTTTATGAAACCAGGAACAACGTCTAACTTCGCACGCTGGCGCGTCCCAATAAACAGGGTTGCGCTTTCTCTCGCTCAAATTTACATCGTACCTTCCTCCGTCAGTTGACACTATGTTTACATTGTCCTTGCCACCTAAAAGTCAAGCACGAATTTGTCTTCTCGCGTTTTTATTTCGGAATTACGGTAGAGGTGAGCTTTTTCGAGTGCGGCCGAGTCCCGAACACTAAAAGCTCTCCAAATAACGCGCCCTTCCAGCTTTGTTTCACAGAACCAATGATAACTGGGAGCTTCATAACGAAATGGATACTAAAAGACGATGTGTTATGATCACTGACAGATTTAATAACGCACTAGACGTGTGTCTAATGTTATGATCCGCCTCAGTCTTCTGTATAGATTCCAAAACGTATTTCTAGTTAAAAATAGGTATGTGCCCAACAACATTACACAAAAAGTGCACCGCAACAGAAGCATTGCCACGCATTTCACTTTGCAGACTTTCGATAATAAACGGCCAAATAGGTTTGACGTTACGATTTGTGACAGATTTTGAAATTTATTTTCTATCAATCAAAGAGTAGCAATTTTAATCCTTCGTAGATATTACGGGTATATTTTTAATCAACAAAGCTTTGATATTAATTCGAGCATTCCACGAAAAAATAATACATTATTATTACGTATTAATTTCCGAAATCCTTTGTTTTTGTTACATTCGCCTCTTTGAACCGAATTTTCCAGGTTACGTGAAATGGACTTCAAACAACAATAATACAAGGTTCGCCGATAGAAAAGGAGCATTTGAAACAGTCTTGGTCTTGGTATTTATAAAATGAAGGGTGTATTAAGAAACGATCGAACGAATAATTGCGGGAGTCCGTATGTGAAGTCCTTATGACTAAACAAAGCTCTTCAAAGAAATGCATTTAATGAGAACGTCGAGAGACCACTTTTTGACATAACGGAGTATATTCTCATTACTAACGGACTACATCAAATAATGACTGTTTCGAACGAATAAAAATTAGTCAGAGAAGTGGTGTAACCTCGGATGTAACTGAATAACCTTTCTCAACAAAGGTGAAATTGTACAATTTTTAGTTTTGTTTAAAAATTCTTTGTGACTGCACGTCACGATTTATAGTTATTTATTATACATGACGATAAAGGGATATTTTAACCATTGAGTGAAACAAGGTTAGTTTCCCTTTATCGTCGTGTAGAATACAAAAGTTTATTTAACTAGTGGAAGCGATATAAATCATTGTAAAGCTTCTGGCAATTCTCAATTTAATTTATAGACGTCAAAAATAGCCAGCTTGGGATCTGCCGTCGCGATCGTTTCCATAGAAACAAAATCGTCATATGTTCTGAACGTCATTTTATACCGTGCATTTGAAGTAAGAATGACAGATGTCATTGGAATGCACAATCATTTGTTTCACTTTACCTATACTCCGTTCAATAGTTATTGTCCAAGTAGGTAGCCATGGAATTTTGTTTTTATGTTTAATAAAATTAAAACACCCTATCAGAATCGGCTGTGGAGTACGGGAATGTCTAATTTGACTATTTTGAGGTTAAACATCAGATTTAAATATACCTACTCTGTGGTTAAACGTTACAATGTTTTCAGTGATTTCACACTTTGTTTGCTACTAGACCTAATATGTTTATATATCGGCGTCATGGATACGTATCAGTCAATAGGGTACATGACAGTGGAAAAAGAATAAACAAATTTCTGTTTCATAAGATAGAGTAAGGTGCCAGGGTATCGCAAAATAACTTTATTTGGTAATGTAGACCAGAAATTATTATATTTTAGTAAAAATAAAATTTAAAAATAACGACATTTGTCATGTGATATCAAACGCCAATCATAGCGCGTGACGTCATTATCCTAATTGGCGGTTCAAGCAGCGATCCTCTGTGCGTTTATAGCGTTTGTCTATGTCTTTTAATTTAGTGCTTGTTGAATTTTATAGTGATTATATTATCCTAAAGTTTAGTTTTTTGAACCAGATAAGAATGGAAAGTAGGTATACGAGAGCTGATAGCAGCAAATCTGCCAAAAATTGATGTAATGATGTTGGAAATATTTCTCGCACCCAACAAAGATTTTTCCTCATTAGAATTAAGAAATAGTAAAACAGCCATATAAGTTTTGTATATTTTTAAGTTAAACTTAGATTTTTTGCAAGAAATGTAGTTACTTAAAAGAAATGTGTACAGATGCTTTGTTTTTAAGTCATCGAAGCTATCATATGAAGATGATTCAGTAAGATAGGTCTTTACGTAAGCGCAACTTTTTTACATTACTAACATTTTGTAGATAAAGGTATAAATTTATAAAGTAGTAAATTTTTTTTTGGAAAAACAACTTGAGTTTTTATGGCGGGCGCTCTTATGGAAATTTACATTGGGTGCAGGCGTACAGAAGACTCTTAAGCGTGATTGCAACTTATGCACAGTTAAGTCAAAATTTGCCAGGAACATAAGGTTCACGCAAAGCTGCAGTTTTCGACGAAGAAACCGACCACAACTTGCCATCCCATATGGGGGTTCTTGTGAATACAAAATAAAGCTTACATCAAAGTGGTCCTCACAAAAATAGTGTTGTTTCTATTGAATACGCTGGGTCTGGACATGCAAGTTGTAGCCACTTTTTCCGTCTGGCTTCTTTTTTGGGTACGGATATAAACAATTTATTTGGTGTCTAATTTAATGTACTTCCAGCAGTAGTAGTAGTCTTCATAATTGCGAAATGCAGCTAACACGTATATCCCTTCGGAATTCAATTGCTGGTCCAGTAGAACCATGAAAAATTTCCAAGGAAAATAATACGCACAAATTATTCTCTTGGCTTTACCATTAAGCTACTTTTACAACCCCTTAGAGTCCAAACCCTATTAAGTGGACTGGAGTGGTCAGTCCCTAACGCTTTCCACAACCCGGAGTACTAGTGTCGATAAAGTCTCCTTTATCACGTGTAACAAGTCATGATCGAGTCCGATTATTCGAAACTCTACTCCTGTATCGGCAAATGGCCGAATCGGAATCGAAAGTTGTTCAAAATGCCGTCTACCGCACACCTCAGGAGTAAACGTACGTGAAAAATGTGCTACTCATGTTAATATAGTTTTCTATATTACGTTTAATGAGCAATCGTCGAGAATCCTTTTGGATTCCTCTACTCTATGAAGCATTTGAATGATACAGCATCCTTTGAACCGGATTTACTGGAATCGGGTAGCACGGATCAGACTTTATCCATGAAGTCATAGCAATCACCCGCCTGGGATACTTAGCTGCGCCACATGTCTATGTGTACATCATGGTAGGGCACCACTTAGAGTAGTTCATCACGAAATCTTTTAAACTATTTACGCTGGGGTTATGTGTTTATAACTGTCAGGACTGTGACGTCATAGACACCGCCATGACACAAAACAGCGTTTTGGCGCTAAAATAAAAACCTACAATTCAAATTGCATAAATTTGCAATAATATGGTTTATTTTGCTGTAATATCATATTTTAAAGTTATAGTGGAGGTATATACGAACAGTTATAATCGGTTTTAAAAAATTTGTCATCTACCCTATTGTGATTTATAATTAAGCAAATATGCCGAAAATCATAAACTCAGATGCGAAAATGCAAATTTTAAAAGCCTACAGGCATTATAAGACAGACAGGCCAGACCTAAGGAAAGCGGAAATCTTTGCCCGGCTTATTGACATTTGGGATGTGAGTATTTATGCATTGAACTTAACTTTCGGTCTAATTTTGAGGTATCAGAAAAAACCATTGAACTTACTAAGGGACGCGCGGGAAAATTTTGATTTTGATAAGGAGAAAACTACTTTATATAACATTCTAAAATCAATCTGAACTTGTGTTTATTTTGAAGGAAGTTTTCCTTTACTGGTGACCCGAGTGCAAAATCATGCGTCTTCATCTTTTCCTGCAATCAAAAATTGCCTACAGTGGACCGGAAGTTCATAACGTGTTTTCATGCCAGTAAAACACTAATTAAGCGGTGAACGGCCATGGGTCATATGGATAATCCTTAATTTTTCCTAACACACCTCGTATAATTTAACTTAGATAAACAAACCCCAAGATTTGACTAGCATCAGCACGAGTTAAAATTATCGATTTCAGTCAATTTTACCGTTTATCTACACTTTGTGCTATAGTGTATTGTAATGACGTATGTATCTAATTGGAAGGATATGACATTCAGTCCTCGTCTACTTGTAACAAGAATTCTTAATTTGCAAATTGCAATTTCTAGCTAACTTCAGATTGCCGCTGTATCAAGCAGCGCGCTCTTTGTCGAAAACAATTAAAGTTGCAAATTAAAAAAAGGGAGAAACAAAAAGTGGCCACTAAAACAGAAGTCCTAAATTATGTATTACTCTCGACTACGCACGTAGCAACGAAATTGTCCGTTCGTGATCTGCCTAGAGCGTTCGTCTTTAAATAAAAAGCTAATTTCAAGTTTCTGTTTTGACAAATTTAATTACAGCCATAGTTGGGAGATAATCAAGTGAAGTTCTCGAAAAGGCACTAAATCCAACCCTATAACCATTTGTCCTTATGAATCTCGGCACGGTGACTAAGCATTCTCGATCCTCACGTATATGACATTTTCAATTGCGTTCTAATTTCCCGAGCTATCATACATAATATTCCTTTTCTCTCTGTTGCAAATTGATACGTAGGTTAGAAAGAGATGTGAATTAGGATGTACCACTTGGAAAGTCGTGTGTGAAGCAGTCAATTATTCGTCCAATCAAGCGTTTCCAATTTTGTTCGGCAATTCTTCTCCACAGTGGCTATTTACTTTGATGAAGTCTGCTCTGCTGAGTTCTTATTTTGAAGATATTGCTTTATTCTTTTTCATGTTTGATGGCTCTTTTCGCCGTTAATAAATGCAATCGTATAATTTATGCGGAGATAGCTAATTAAGGGCGGTATCGCGCGAAATGTGAACCCAAAATTTTATTTATGTCTATTATGCACGAGTCGGCAAAGTAAAAGTGAGTTGGGACAAACTGTAAATAATGCCTTAAAACGAGGCACATATACAGCAATAAATTTAAATATAAGTGCGAATTGTCCAGTAGCACTTTATGGTTTCTTCCTTGTAAGTTTTACACTTTGTCTTCATAAGATGTGCCAAAACGATATGAAAAATATTATATTCATAATTTATCAGACTATTAATTTACTTTTTCGCCCCGAGTTCGGAGGTCTTCAGCTGGATTTACAGCGAATTCCCAAGCCGCTCGTATAAATACCTGAATCTGATTACTACTTCAGCACTTTATATAAACCGAAAGTACTTCCCCAAACTTTCGCGATAATTTAAATTTATCATTAAAATAAAATCGGTGTTTCAATTTAAAGTCTCACCTTCAAGACGCAATGTTT